TTTGAAATGGAGATGAGCACCGCCCCCTAGAGTCGGGAATGACTAGCACATATGTGCGAGGGGAACCTTTACCTTTATTACAGCTAGATGATGTATATTCGACTTTAAAGGTGTTGCTACATAGACACCAGCTAGAAAAGTCCAGGTGGGGTGGCACTGCCATCTCAGAAACTGTTTTGCTGCTGAGAATATTTCTGAGCAAAACCTTTTCCAGTTTGGTGCGACAGAAATAAGGGGCACCATTTGATCTCCTTGATGTATCTGCTGTGCCAACCTGGTCTGTATTGTTCTGGAAAGTTTGCTTTGGCAGCATGATGAGGCCCAGAAGTCAGCAAACTTTTTCAAAGTGGAACAAAATGAGCTGGAAATCTTTCTCCTGCTTTTATTATGAATGGGCATTTGGGAGGGAAGACCATAAAAGAGAGGACTTCATCTCCCTCCAGCATCCTGTTCCACAGGCCAAGCTCGAAGCTTCCTTTGAAAACAGGCACTGCCATAACATTAAACATGAATGGACTTTAGTCTCAGTAGCCACATGTGAAGTTATTGGTTTAAAGGAAGGGATCCCAGCATAGCATACAAGATTCCATTCTGGAAACTGAATTGGTAATGCTAGTTGGGTTGAGAGGTGAACAGTCTTTGGTATCCCCTCTCCCTCTTTTCTTTAAAGGTCATGCAGAGGCCCACCTTTGTGTTCAATGATACAGAGACTGTACTAAGCCAGCTTTTTTAAATTATAATTTCTTGACCAATCACTCGTGCCCTGATTGAAATATTATACTAAATCTTAGCCCAAGATTCCCAAACATATCATGCCAGAACTAACACTGTGGCCTTGGCATGAGCTGTCCTTTTGGCCCTACTGATTTTTCTAGCTGCCCCTAACGGAAGATCTGTTGTGCTAATGCTTTCTTTATACCGGTTCAGCTATAGAAGACAAACCAGCTATGATGACTTCCCCTTTGTACTTGGAGATCATCATTTACTGCACAGGGGGCTTCCTCATCTCCTGCATGATCGTGACCGTCCTCATTTACAAGATGAAGAGCACCACCAAGAAGACCGACTTCAACAGCCAGTTGGCCGTCCATAAACTGGCCAAGAGCATCCCCTTGCGCAGACAGGTAACAGAAAGTAGATAGGGGGTTTGATTGAAACCTATGATTCCCCACCTTTGAGACTGCAGCAAAGCAGGCGGCCTCTCCATCAGAGGCACCTGTTCTTCTTTCCAACTCAGTAGAATGTTAAAAAGATATTATCAGAGTTTGTTGCAGAAAATCACTTCCAGAAAGCACACACAGATAACTGATGCAGCTGGATTCATTAACTTCTTTATAAGAATAGATGAATAAATGTACAATACCAACAGGAGGTTCTTCCAAGTAAACATAAGGCAGAAGAGTTACAGGCTAACACAAGCAGTTAGTTTCATTTTAGCAAACAACCCAGACAGACTGCTAGTTTACTTCTCACAGCAGCAGACTGCTTTCTTAAGTTTCTGTTTCAATTCTTTGCACAGACTCAGATCTGTTTAAGCTCCCACTGGCTGACTTGGTTGCTATGCCAATTC